ACCTCTGACTGGAAGCATCATCCAGCTCAGCTTAGCGTAGCTTAGCTTACAGGGAACGACCCCGAGTGGCTTGCGGCCAAAACTCGAACGCATCTCCCGGCTGCTTTGAACTACAAGCTAAGCTACCCTAGCTTATCCTAATTCAACCCTGCCCCTATCTTATCCTAATTCAACCCTGCCCCTATCGCTATATAGCTAAACCAGAGAGTCTCTCTGGACCATCATCCTAACTACCCGATCCTACAGACTGTCCCAAACGTGGGACAGTGGAACCAATGGCCGGCGGTTCCTTGGAGAAAGAGAGAAAGAGAGAGTCCTACCCGCCACACATACCCAGTCACTACTGCCTTTCCTACTGCGGAAAGGAGGAGGGAGTATCTGAGAGTCCTTACTACACGCGCGAAACCACCACTTTGGCAAAACCAACTGAGAGTCCTTGACTTCGGCAGGTTGCCTATGTCTGGCCCATGTGTTGTGGATCCAGGAGCGTACCCTTTGGTCTGTTTCGTGCCTTGGTTACTTCTTTTTTCCCAGCCAGTGGCTCTTGACGGCCAGCCGGATTTTCTGTTTGATTCTCAGCCAGAGAGGAATTTGCCCTTGAACACCAGTCTATTTCTCTCTTTCCAGGTCACTGAGAAAATAAGGGCCCTGACGACCTGAGCGACGTACTTCCAGTGCCGACCCGCTTGGTTCTCCGCTGCCAAGAGGGTGCCGAAAAGGATCCAGTTGTCATCACAAACAAAGTTTTTTTCCCGCAAGTGTTGTTCGAGTGGTATTTGCACCACAACCAGATCCTCTTCGATAGTGGTAGTGGGCAGGTCAACCAGATATGAAGGGTAGTTTTGGAGGGCCCCTTGCACCTCTTGCAGGTATGTTCAATCCCCGTGCCTTTCTCACTCAACCACACTGCTTGGGGGGAGGATGGGAGGGGGGAGGGGGGGCTAGGTAGGAGAGAAGCCAAAGTAGTGCACTGTTCCTTTGGGAAAGGATGTCCTGCAAATGAGTCCATCCCTCAGTATAGGGGTGACATTTGGCCGGGTCCTTATTTAGGATCTTGGTCCACCTGCTCACCTCAGAACTTTCCAGCTTTGGACTCTGGTGGTACCCAACCAGGGAGCTCTACACTCCTGCGGCTGGAACAAGGGGGCGAGGGACCTTCCAGACCCTTGGGATAGCTGCTGCAAGTCAGGGTCAGAGAACAGTGCGATGGCTAGGGGCGGTGGTTGCGCACACTTTGGAACCGGGGGCCTTCCACTGAGAACTGCTATGTGGCCCTGGCAGCACCCTGAGAAGTCAGATGGCCAACAGCCACGTATCACGGTCCTGCCAGTGCCACATAGCAGGATCCAACTTTACTGTTCTCAGTGGAAGACCCCCAGACCGAACCGTGCGCAACCACCATCCCTGGTCACCGCACCGTTCTCTGACCCTGACTTGCAGCAGCTGTCCCAAGGGTCTGGAAGGTACCTCACCCCCTTGTTCCAGATGCAGCAGCGTAGAGCTCCCTGGTTGGGTACCACCAGAGTCCAAAGCTGGAAAGTTCTGGTTCCATCCTCAGCCAGCTCGGTTAACTTCAAAAATTGCGAGCTTGTTTCCATTCTGGCAGCTATGTACCAGGTCCCTGTCGGATCCAAAGTGAGCAGATCATGCCAGTCAGTGGGATGGTGACTATGATTTCCTTGGCGTTTGCCTCCACATCCCATAGGCGGCCGGTTTGAGGGCCGAGCGAGGAAACCAACATCTACCAGCGATCACCGTGGGTCTGGTCCTCGGCCTCTACAACACCCTGGGCTTAAAAAAAAAGAAACAGAAAAAAAAAGGAAACTAGCATCTACACACCTTGTCCCATAGGTCGCTCACTCTTAGAACACCCTTCTGGATCCATGCTATATTCTGAAGGAGCCCGTGCTGGTATCTGCGGCAAATGACAGGCGTTCTTGGTTCCTGAGGAATGGGTTATCAAACAATGGCCGACTCAACGCTTCTTCCTTTGTGACCGGTCTGCACCTCGTTTAGTCTTTGCCTTCCTCCATGCAGACAACACCCCCTGCCAGAAGGAGGACTTAACCTGGCCTCTGAGGAATGATTCCAGCATGCAGCAGAGCCACACGTCCTCTGCTGTCTTGACAGATTGCACTCAGACGCCAGGAGCACTTCAGCCATCAGTACCCAGTGGTCTTCTCCCTGAGAGGCAATAGCCTTCATAAACCACTGGGCAAGGAGGGTGCAGTTCTTCTTAGCTGGGTCCAACATGCCTAGCCCCCCTTCTTATCTAGCATAGCACACTGTATCCCGCGCAATTCTGGTAATGAATCCCCTTGATCTGATTTCCCAAACGGTTTCCAAAGAAACCTTGCCGCAGCGTTCTGAACCACTTATGCCAGCAACTTGCTGAAAAGACGACTCTCCCTACGAACCAAAGTAGCGAAAAGAGGGCTATATTCAGAACCAGGGCCCGACAAAAAAGAGAGAGACGAGGCGCTGGGCCCCAAGGGGCCTCGAGATTCTCTGAACAACTTTCTGTTGCAGCAAATAGCCCTGCAGTTCCGCGCAGTTACTGAGGGCCACCTGCATGCCGGGATACCTTTCTGATGAGCCATCCAAGATTTGCTTCATGCCAAAATCGACAGACAGACAATACTGCGCAGGTAAAAGAACACGGACTTACCCCAATTTATGGCGGCTTCCAGCAGTTCACAGTATTGTGTCAAACACTGTTTCAGAGCAACCAGCGAGGTCTGTGTTTTCAGAGACCGCAAGCAGGTCGTCGGCAAGGGCTTTCACCTTGCATTCTTTGTGCTGCACCTGCAGACCCCCAATGTCTGGGTTTTCCCTGATGTGGTTGACGAGGATCTCCAACTGTAGTAGTACAAAGATGGCGAAAAAAAGAACTGCAACCGGTCCCCTAGGTCCCTCTCGCTGCGGCCCAGAACTGTACTCGTCTCCATCATAGAAACTGAGGTCGAGAGGGGCATATGCAGTACGTAGCGCCCATCTTTCACCATCTGACTCAAATGGTACCCAAGCCCAGCATTCGCTACTATGGTCCCTCCGTCACCCCCAGTGTTTGCACTTCCGGGCGATCCCGAATTCCAACCACACACATCCACTGCACACCCATCCCCTGCAGACATCCACTGTCTGCACACACTCGGACTGACTTATCATGGATTCTCTATCATATCCACTGCACCCAGAATGGTCGCAGGATTAAGTCCTGCTACACCCATAAGGTATGCACTGCACACACATGCACTGCATGCACAGCCACCACTGCACATGGGATTCATTTTGCCCTGTGCTTTTATCCTAACGTCCACTGCACACAAATCATATGCAGTGCACATCGCCTATACAGCGATTCATCTGTCATGGACCTAACCATGATTGGACACACTCTACTTTGTGCATTGTCGTTCCGGTGTGGTCACGTGGGGATGGTTAACTATCAATCAGAAGTCTGAACATGGTGTTTGTCATCATGTTGATTGATTGCCATAAGCATGCATTCATCATTTTTTCACGGATTGTAAGCATTGCATTGGTGTCCAAACATAAGATCGTAATCATAATAGAATCATTGCTGTGACAGCCTAGTTGAGCGCAACTGGCTTTGAATTCAAATGGCTGCCACGTCATACTCAGATGGTCATCAGCCTGTCATATTTTTCGGGCGTAGTTCACGATCATGTATTTATGTTACACATTGTGACATTACACAGATTTGATGCGTTCTCGACTGAGTGTTGTGTGGCACATAGGTTTCTCACTCGCCACGAACTCGCAGGAGAACCTTTTGGATTGAATCTGGCCATGGTTGCCGTCAGACACATCGATGAAAGTCTGTGGAAGTATGTTCTGAAGTTATGCCATGGACATTGGGCCTCGCTCCACCGCTCAGCACATGTGCGAAATGAGAATGAATCTTCTGCAAGAACAGCAGGCAATCGTGACAAAGGAAATAAGTTCAAATAACTAAAAGGACTCGATCGGGCTGCTGCTGATTTTGCAATCTGCGATTATAAGGGGCTCTTGTTTTTTTTTTTGAATGTGTGGTCCTATGGACCACGGATCAGATATTAAACTGCTCAGAACAGACACTACACGATCTATTTTTAGCCAAAAGGCCGAGAATGGGCCTAGTGTGAGAATGTCCTCACCGCGCTTTCCAGTCCGATGAATCTGCTAATAGATTTTCTTCACCTGTCTCCTGCGCCTGTATCAATGGATTGTTGGTCAGATGGCAATCCTTTCTGGTCACTATCACATCCCTCTCTTCGGTTTGTTTGTGATGGACTGGAAAGCGCCAATAAATTCTTGGTATGGATGGATGTGATAGCGATCAGAAAGCATTGCGGTCGGATCAATCAACTAGTTACATACTAGATTTCCTTGACGTCTGTTCTCAACATCAGGTCAATCAGGCTAAATGTTTTATTCTGGTCAATCGCCTTGTTTT